CCCCAAACCCTGGGATTCAGGAAAGGCTGGGAGGGAATTCCCAGAAAAACTGGAATGCTGGGAGTCAGGAAGGGCTGAGAGATAATTCCCAAAAAAACAACAAAAAAAGTGGGATTCTGGGAGGCAATTCCCAAAAATACCGGGAATGCTGGGATTCAGGAAGGGCTGGGAGGGAATTCCCAAAAAACACCGGGAATACTGGGAGTCGGGAAGGGCTGGGAGGCGATTCCCAAAAAAACCTGGGAATACTGGGAGTTTGGGAAGGGCTGGGAGGGAATTCCCCAAAAAAAACTGGGATTCTGGGAAGGGCTGGGAGGGAATTCCCAAAAAAACTGGAATGCTGGGAGTCAGGAAGGGCTGGGAGGGAATTCCCAAAAAAACTGGGATTCTGGGATTGTGGAAGGACTGGGAGGGAATTCCCAAAAAAATTGGAATACTGGGAGTTTGGGAAGGGCTGGGAGGGAATTCTCAAAAATACCTGGAATGCTGGGATTGTGGAAGGGCTGGGAGGGAATTCCCAGAAATACCCTGGAATACTGGGATTCTGGGAAGGGCTGGGAGGGAACTCCCAAAAATACCCAGGAATACTGGGATTGTGTGCCAGGGAAAGGCTGGGAGGGAATTCCCCAAAAAAATGGGATTCGGGAAAGGCTGGGAGGGAATTCCCAAAAAAACCCTGGAATGCTGGGAGTCGGGAAGGGCTGGGAGGTGATTCCAAAAAAAACCTGGGATTCTGGGAAGGCTGGGAGGGAATTCCCAAAAAAAATTGGAATGCTGGGAGTGGGGAAGGGGTGGGAGGCAATTCCCAAAAAACTGGGATTCTGGGAAAGGCTGGGTGGGAATTCCCCAAAAAACCTGGGATTGTGGAAGGGCTGGGAGGGAATTCCCAAAAATACCCTGGAATACTGGGATTTGGGAAGGACTGGGAGGGGATTCCCAAAAAAACTGGGATTCTGGGATTGTGGAAGGACTGGGAGGGAATTCCCAAAAAAACCTGGGATTGTGGAAAGGCTGGAATTCCCAAAAATAACCCTGGAATACTGGGAGTCGGGAAGGGTTGAGAGGTGATTCCCAAAAAAACTGGAATTGTGGAAGGGCTGGGAGGGAATTCCCAAAAATACCCTGGAATACTGGGATTCTGTGCCAGGGAAAGGCTGGGAGGGAATTCCCAAAAAAACTGGGATTCTGGGATTGTGGAAGGACTGGGAGGGAATTCCCAAAAAAACCTGGGATTGTGGAAAGGCTGGGAGAGAATTCCCAAAAGAAACCTGGGATTCTGGGAAGGCTGGGAGGGAATTCCCAAAAACCCTGGAATACTGGGAGTCTGTACCAGGGAAAGGCTGGGAGGGAATTCCCCAAAAAAACCTGGAATGCTGGGATTCGGGAAGGACTGGGAGGGAATTCCCAAAAAACCTGGGATTGTGGAAGGGCTGGGAGGGAATTCCCCAAAAAAATGGCATTTGGGAAAGGCTGGGAGGGAATTCCCAAAAAAACCCTGGAATACTGGGAGTTTGGGAAGGGCTGGGAGGGAATTCCCAAAAATACCGGGAATACTGGGAGTCGGGAAGGACTGGGAGGGAATTCCCAAAAAAACCTGGGATTCTGGGAAGGGCTGGGAGGGAATTCCCAAAAAAAAAAACAACTCTCTGGGATTCTGGGAATTTTGGGGGTGAATTCCCAGGATTTCTGGGATAACTGGGGCTGTTTTAATCCCAGTTTTCTGCCAGTTTTGGGATTTCCAGGAGGGATTTTGGGGGTGGGAAAGGGAAAATTTGGGGGATTTTGGGAATTCTGGGGGGGATTTTGTGGGTTTAGGAGGGGAATTCCCAATATTTTGGGAATTCCCAGGATTTCTGGGCTGACTGAGCTGGTTTTAATCCCAGTTTTCCACCAGTTTGGGGATTTCCAGGGGGGAATTTTGGGGATGGGAGAGGGAAAATTTGGGGGATTTTGGGAATTCTGGGAGGATTTTGGGGTTGGGGG